ATAAATGAAACAACAACTTCGTGATAATACAAGAGACCCCTTCAGTCTACTCTAACCAAGAATTCCACTATAATATCAAAATCTGATCCAAAATATGACATATGCTTTAAAATCAAAATTAAACAAATTTTAAACTCTATGATAAATATTCCAATGCTTTGATCCTTGTGATCATTTGAAAACTATCTGAATACAGTCAAAAGTCATTAATTCGGACACCCATAATCCAGAGCTCAAAGCTACAAACTTTCTGCGCATGCGTCACTGCCTTTACGGCTGCGAATATGCGTCTGCGCGTGCGCACAATACGTTTACAAATGCGCGTTCAATGTATAACAGACGGCATAAGCTAAGCTAAAATTATCTAATTCAGTTAATGTTGAAGATTGCGTTGTTCCTTAATCTTCGAATTGGATTCGGCTTATTATTTTTTGCAGACTGTTAGAGCAATTTTATAAAAGTAAGCTTGAACTTTCGATTATGTCAAATAGAATGTCTGATATATATTTACTAATATGTAAAGGGTCTACAAAGCGAAACTACATTTCCAAGTCCATTAAACAAAAAGTGGAATTGCTGCAAAAAAATGGATAAAGGCATATCTTTTGTTTATCTAAACTTTGTTTATCTTTAACGCAGCGTCGCGCAATGAATTGGAAGTTGATCTGTCAGCACTATCCTTATCTTCAGGGCAGATGTTTTTATTTTATTTGGCTTATAATTCCTTACTAAATGTAGTATTTCATCTCGATGTACTCTATCTTTGATATGATTTAAATCAAATTCCTTGTCATTATAATTCGCTTCCGATTGCAAAGAAAGTGACAGAGGTTATTGAAAACGAAAAAATTTCGATTGACAAATTAGTCGGTATTTCTCGACACAGCAATTATAGGACTTGAACAGCGGAACTTTGTAACTGAACAAGAAATTATGTCTGTTTATAGAATTAAAGAGAATGTATCATCACATAAAAAACAAAGCAACTTAAACAACTTACATTGAAAGAAATGTTTAATAAAGTAAACAAATAACTATTAAGCTTTTGTTTTTTGTAAATTTTGATACCCTTTAGATCATAATTGTTCTTTATTTCATAAATTATGGTTTCATATTTTTAATTTTATAATTTCTGCATGCCATCTTACCAGATTTAAACTGATGATCTATAATCCGGAATCGTCGAAGTTCCAACGAGCCCGGATTAACAACTTTTGACCGTATAGTAATAACAAAAGTATATCACTACAGAATTAAAGTAAAAACTCTCACTAATATTTACCTCCTTTACATGCACAAAACTTCAATTAACTATCAAAGTACTGATTCAAGTAATAATTACATAAAACCACAGCTAACACAATAAGTGCTTAGCAAAACGTGTAAAGTATACTACATACTGGAGGTGAAGGATAAATTGTTGAAGAAATGCTTATCACGAGTGAATATGCTAATCATTTTTGTTATTTACTCTGAAAAATAAGAACTATAATTTCTCTGGTTACACCTTCTTAATTATCAAAATCATAGCAACCCTTAAATATAAGCTAAAGACAAATGACATAGAGATCATAGCTACACACAGTTAATATTTTACAAGAATTTTCAGAGCTGATATTGCAAGTTCATTTATATAAACACCACATGCAGTATCCATTACTTACTGGGGGGGAAGGAAGATAATGTTGTTCAAATTTAAATTCACGCAACCTATGCCAAAAAAAAAAAAGGGACAATGCTATACAGTACAAAGTCCGTAATCCGGACTCGTCGGGATTTCGGCGATTCCGGATTATGGATTATCGATTTAAATCTGGTAAGATGGCATGGAGAAATTATACAATTAAAAATATGAAACCGTAATTTATGAAATAAAGGGCAATTACGATCTAAAGGGTACCAAATTTACAAAAAAAAAAAAAGCTTAATATTTATTTGTTTACTTTAGTAAACATTTCTATCAATGTAAGTTGTTTAAGTTGCTTTGTTTTTTGTGCTAATACTTTCTCTTTAATTCTATAAACAGACGTAATTTCTTTTTCAGTTACAAAGTTCCACTGTTCAAGTCCTGTAATTGCTGTGTCAAGAATACTGACTAACTTGTCAATCGAAATTTTTTCGTTTTCAGTAACATTCTCTGTTACTTTCTTCACTATCGGAAGCGTGCATGGGTAAACGCTTTACTGGCTTTATGCGCATGCGTAGCAGACGCGCGCATCAAACACGCATGCTTAAGTTTGTTGCTTTGAGGTCCGTATTATAGATCATTCCAGATAATGGACGTCCGGATTATGGACTTTGTACTGTATTTCTCGTTCTACTGGACCGATTGTCGAAATTTAACTTTCCAGCACGACTTAGGATACATATTAGATTTATATACAGTCAAAAGTCTTTAATAAGGACTCGTCAGGACTTTGGCGATTCCAGATTATAGATCATAAATTTAAATCTGGTAAGATGGCACGCAGAAATTATAAAATTAAAAATATGAAACCGTAACTTATGAAATAAAAAACCGTAACTTATGAAACCGTAACTTATAGCAGTTATAATTTAAAGGGTATCAAAATTTACAAAAAAAAGCTTAATATTTATTTGTTTACTTTATTAAACGTTTCTTTCAACGCGCGCATGCATAAAGCATACATTACACATAGTCGAAATTAGAAAATTGCAACCAGAAAACTATTCGATGTGCATTCGTGATATTTATAATGACGAGGAATTTGATGTAAATCATATCAAAGACGGAGTACATCGAGACGAAATACTACATATAATAACGAATTATAAGCCGAATAAAATAAAAACATCTGCCCTGAAGATAAGGATAGTGCTGACAGATCAACTTCCAGTTCATTGCACGCCATGACATCCCCCCCCCCTCAGAGCAGCGTGAAATTGATAAACAGATTTCGGAATGGTTAGAGAAACAAAGGCCATGCCTTCATCCATTTTTTGCAGTAATTCCACTTTTTGTTTGATGGATATCGAAACATGCTTTCGCGTTGTAGATCCTTTGGCAGCTCCAGAATCGAAAATTCTTTTTCACATAATCGAAAGTTCAAGCTTACTTTTATAAAATTGCTCTAACGGTCTGCAAAAAATAATAAGCCGGATCCAATTCAAAGATTAAGGAACAACACAATCTGCAACATTAACTGAAATAGATAATTAGATAATTTTAGCTTACCTCATACCATCCATTATACATTAAATGTGCATGCGTAAAGGTATATGCGCATGCGCAGAAAGTTTGTAGCTCTGCGGACCAGATTATAGATCGTTCCGGATTATGGACATCCGGATTAAAGACTTTTGACTGTATAGCATTGTTTTTATATAGGTATTTTGACACAAAATCGGATTTTTTCTGAAATAACATACAAATTTTTTCCCATATTTCGATTCTAGGACTCAAATTTTTCCAAAGTGCTAAGTTTTGTAAAAATCCCAAGAGTGGTTTTTAAAAAGTTAGCTTTTAAAATTTGACCTCCTTTGTGTTAATTGAATATTTATATATTTATTGACATCTCTTTTGTTTTTATTAAAAACTTATTAAATGTTTCCTTTCACATTTCGAAATTTAGATTCATTCAAAATTAAATTCGCCCGTTTATTAAGATTTATTTTTAAACTCTGCACTTTAAAAAAATGTTCGCAAATTTTTTGAAAAAAAAAAAAAATGAATTACAACCTATAAAAGTTTTACTCTCGTCTTAAAGTAGATGTACTTCTAAGTATACCTATAAAAAATTAGTTTTTTATTCAGAATTTCCCAAGATATACGTGAATTTACATACTGGCACATTTTGAAATTTGGCATTTTTGTTATAAGCAATAATAAGACCAAATGTGGTTTATGCACATTGTTAAAATTATTTCAAGGTTATAAACGATGACCTTTTTTCAACTCGCGTAGAATGAAAAAAAAGGAAAGGAAAATAGGTTGCTATAAATTAAGAAGATGGCTAAGTGAATTATTCTTATCACAACTGAAAAAAATTGACAAAGATAAATTTTTTTAATTTCTCATCAAAATTACAAAATTTAATGTGTAGGCATAATTTGAGTCATAGAATTAAAATATGGAAAAAAACTGGTATGTTATTTCAGAAAAAGGTCAGATTTTGTGTCAAAATACCTACATTAGAATAATGATTTATATAAATCTAATACACATCCTAAGTCACTCTCTCGAGATATGGAAAACGCAAGTTAAATTTCGACAATCGGTCCAATAGCATGGGAGAAAAGTCCCACTTTCTTTTGTGCATGGTGTGCATATTTATATTATTACAATTCACACAGGGAAATTTAAACTACTGAAATTTTTCAATACCAAAATAGGTTTTGTAGGTATCTTCACATATTACATGCAATAATTGCCATGTGCATAACACACTGCACTGTACATATCAAACGGTAGAAAATTATATACAGCATGAATTAAAATTACAATTAAACATATTGATAATATTTTAAATTAGAAACAACATCAATTGCTTAGAATGTCATACTTTATTAAAGAAATTCCCGTCTCACCCCACCTCCTGTATATGGATATCTAGTAAATATTTAATTAAAATGTATGTAACATCTAAGGAATTATATTTTTTTCTGTGTAAGCTAGAAAGAATTCTTCCTAGCATTGCAATGACCAGATGCTATCCTGCTTTATTTTATGTGCGAAAATTAATAAGCTTTATATACATTTATAAAAATGAAACAATCATGTTATAATTTTTTTTTCAGTTGAAATACCTATTAAAAATTTTTCCCATTTCTTACACATATTTCATCAAAAAATTTTATCCATTAAATAATTAACAATTTTAACAGCACCAAAAGATAACATGCGATTTCCAGATAAGAAGTTACTAAACACTACAAAAAGGGAGGAGAACATCACAAAATTTTTTCGAGAATATAATATTGTTAATAACATTCCTGCATGCACCACAATCTATTCAACAAGCATACATACATCACAAAACACTTCAAAAATATATTTTATTTTCCATTTCAAAGAAATAAAATTTTCATGGCATTTTACCAAGACAATGCTAAAGAGTTACTGTCAGAATAATAATTAACATAACTATATCAAGAAATATTTCTATATAAAAAAACAGAAACAAAAAATTTACACCGAAAATTTTTTCAAAACTACAGTTACACCATGCAGTGTAATCCATGCAGATTTTCCTTTTACTACCTGGCTGAAATTGGAAAATGCATTGTTGGAAGGTTTATAATACGTTTTCAGACACGATTCACTTTTAAATGCACAATATCCTGTATTTAGAGAATGCATAGGTGAGGCTTGCTGCTTGTTACGTTTTGACAGGCCCTTCAGCAATTGTTTCAAGTTTTCAAATCTCCTTCTTGGCGACAGATGGAAAAAAATTGAGCTTTCCGATTTGCACTTTGTAGAATCTTTCTGCCTTTTTTGAGTAATGCCATCAGTTACATAGGTGGAGGAAGAAAAAGAATTGCACTTTGGTGATGGAAAACTTCCATCTTTCCTTTTATTACTTAATGCACAATTGCAAACTTCATTACTAGTATTATTATAAAGGTCTTTGAGAGATGTAAAATGCTGTGCTTTACTTCTCACAGCCAACTCCAAAGAGTTATCACTTCCTCCAAATGATCCATCATCATTGTCATGAGGTGAAAATTCTATTACAATCCATGGGTTTTTCAGATCGGAAGAATTCCTATAAAATTTTGGTCTCAGTTTACGAAAAAAACTGGATAAACTAGAGCTTCTAGTCTTTCTTGTTGGCATACATGAATTAATACTGTTGCTTATAGGTAAAGTTGAATACTTTTCAATTTCTATTTTCTTTGGTGTACATGGTGTACTATTGCATGGTATACGTGAAGATCTCTGGTTTTCATTACATGAATAATTTTCAAACGATTTTCTGGATCCAGAAAGTGAAGTATTTGTAACAGCTTCAAAGTAGCTAACAGAACGGAAATGGTTAAAGGATTCACTTATCTGCAGTGATGTAAATGATGCACTGTAAGGTTTATTCTTACATTCAGATCTAAGGTTCATTGACATGCTGCGACTCATTTTCAGCATTAAAAAGATTTAAATTATTTCTTTAAATATGATAGGATACCACCTGAAACAGAAATTAGATAATTTTATTGTAATGAAAACACAATTCATCATACACATATTCATAAACAATCATGAAAGATAAAAGTACATAGACTTAAGACTGTAGAGTAACTACAGTAAAACTAGAAACACAATGTTAAGCATATGCCTACATTTAAAATGAAAAAAAGAAAACAAAAAGCTATTTCTGGATTTAAGGTCAAATTCATATAAATATTTCTGTTTTAGTTTTTTGAAGTTAATAACTTCCTACACTATGAAACAGTAATTTTTTCAATTAAATAATAAAGAAAACAGATTATTGTTCTAATATTCAAATAAATAAAAATTAACATTTACAAAATTAAATCATTATTCAGTATTAATATCAATATAAACTGACAATACATTTTGAAGTGCAAACTCATTTTTAGAGAATAACCAAATATAATCTATGACAATGCAATTAAAACTAAATTCTCATAGGATATGGTATATGAAAATGACATAGTTAATTCGGCAAATACAAGAATTTCTTTCAACTTCATTTAAAATCTTAGCCTAAAGTAGCTCATTTGTCACTGTCTGCAAACATAAACGCTAAGTACTTTTAAATATCTAAATATTTAAGACCTTAATAAAGGACAGACTGAAAGTCTTTCAAATTCTATACTTCTAGTCTAGAATTCAAGTGCTTACAATGAAAAATACAAACTAAAACATAACAAAAGAATAATTCAATATTATTCACAAATAATAAGAACATGACAGAAAAAAGAAAATTTAAAACTTACCTAAATTGAAAACAAATATATCCAAATGTATAAGAAGGATGAACTAAATAAAATTAGAACTGAAAATAAAAAAAGTTTTACACACAGATGAATCTCAAAACCATGCTTTAAATAATCATGCCTGAGGCTACAAACAAATACTTTCATACTAAAATATTACATTTTTAGACAAAATGTAGATAAATGAAGATTTTCGAAAACTAATTTAATATGATAAAATGCAAAGCACCTCATCTGAATAAACTACATCAGAGCACTATAACTAATATTAAAACAAATGCCTAACATATTCACACTCTGAAAAGATAAAATAATAAAGAATGCAGGTATAAAGAAAAATATGTAGAAACATGGCGAAAATTTTCTGATACAACTTTTTATTCATTTTAGATGCAAAACGTGAAATAATATTAATGAAGTCATCATGAGTTTCGGAATGACTTTTCCAAATAACGAGAGCTATAACGGCGTAAACATGTCTTCTCATACCACAGAATCGGTCATTTACTTAATATATTTCTGCCTCTCAACCACAAAATTAGTACTTTTCAATAGATATATTATAAGAAATCTGTGCTGACAAATTTATGTTTGTTTAAACAAATTTAAATAAACATAAATTGAAAATTCACTTCATCTTACGCAGCAGCTGCTCTTTAAATATATTGTTACATATTAACATTAAGGACACATTTAGAGTCTTCAAACAATCATAAGAAGCATCTGCAAAAATATCCATGCAAAAGATCCCTTTAATAATAAATGCAACGCTACTGAATGAATTACTCGAAAAATGAGCGAAAATGATTGCATATAAATAGAAGGTTTATGACAAGATGTCCGATAAATATATTTTACTCATTTAGCTGAGAATGACAAGCTATTATCAAGAAAAATATCAATACTCTCAACAAATTTATCCCACTAATTGGCACGTATTTACCTTAAAAACATCACGAATATCCAATTTGAGAAGAAATTCATGTCATGTAGAGCTCATGTTTAGTGCACCGGCTTAACAGTTTTTATTAAAAATTGAGAACTTATTAACATAAGAAGAATTACTCATTTATTCCAGATATCCATTACAGAATGCCGGAGAACAACACTATCATATCTCACATTTTAATTATAAATTGAATATAATGCACGCAGGAGCGGCGCTGACATCAAACCCGTCAAAACTGACGAAAATGTTGAGGTGCGCGAAACTAGAAATGACTACTTCTGGAGCAAGTTTGACATGTTGCCATTTAAAACCGATTAACAAAGAATTTCAAAATTTTATCTTAAAAATTATTACCATTAACGGGGATAAGAATTTAAAAAAAGGAAAAGCATTTTAAGAGTAAACGTTACCTTTTTAAAAGAAGTTTAAGAAAAAAAAAGTTTTAAGAAGCTTTTTCATTGATTAATCAGCGGAGTATTTGGATTAGAAAGAGATAAATAAACAGAAGTGGACAAGAATTAAAAGTAAAACCGTTGTTCCCTTTCCGAATATAAATATTTGCAAAACTGTTTTTAAATTGTCTTTGGCTCAAATTTTTTGATAAAAGCAATAAGAATTCACATTGGTTTAAAAAGAAATCGCGATTTCTTTTTTTTTAAAGTTATTTTAATGCTTTCATAGTTTTAATTTAATAATTTCCTCTCGGTTTCAAAAGTTCACATCAAAATAATTGCTAATACAATAAGAAGTCGAATAGCATGTTAGCTTTTTCTGTATTTAAGTTTATCACTCATAAGGTGTTTTTAAAAAGTAACAAACGTTTATTAAAAGACAAATATAAAATGTGCTCGTAACTTATTAGACCTACACTTAAACTTATTCTTAAACGTACATTTTGTAACAGATGTTTTTAATGCAACCTACATGTCTATATCTTTTAGAATGTCTATAGAACGGCAACCAGAACTAGCCGCTGCAAAATATCAGTAGATATTCCTTTTAATAATAATAAATAATTTACAATCATGCTTACATTCGGCAATCCAGACTTTTCAGTTGCCCTTTTAATTGTACAACATTACGCATCTGTATTTCAGCATTAAGCATACATTACGTTCATCGTTCGTTACGCACATTATATCGTTACATTATATATCATCATTATATACGGTACATTTCGCTCACTATGTACATTACATAAGTACATTATGTTCATTGCGCACATTACAAAATTGTTACTTAAATTACAACGTTACATTACATACATTAAATTCCTTTCATCGCTACATGACATCGTTTGCTAAGTATATTTCATCTTTACATTCATCACCTACTTTAAATAGTTTTATTACATAGTTCATTAAGCACATTACATCGTTACATTCATGATACCGTTACATTAAATTCACATCGTTAAGTACATTAAATCGTTTCTTAGGTATATTGCTCAATTTTGTATTTTATATCATTATTTTAGGTTGATTACATCATTATATTACATCTTTCGTTACGCATATTACATTATGTACTTTACATCGTCACATTACGTATATATTATATTACACAATATTGCACTTCAACAGTCTATTACACTGAATGGAAAACTACAATAAATACAATAAATAATAAATTAACCTATTATATTTTCATAATAATTTACGTATGAAAATATTTTAATGCGTATTTGTTTGTTATTTTATTAGCTGCAGATCAGTATTAAAATATCTTTCTCTTGCAATTTGAATACAAAATAAAAATAAAAATTAAAATTAAAATTAAAAAATCAAAGAACATTGCACTTTTAAAAGTTATTATCATTCAAATTGGCAAGAGCTGTGAAAGATCTGTCTTCAACTTCTATACATATTTTTCACAATTCCAACTCCCTTTCTTCTCTAAATCTCTGTTCTTCAAGCGCTTCTTTCTGTATTATTTCTTCCAGCTCTTTTTTCTTTTTTTCCTTGAATACTAGTTTTCAGTCATTCGTTAACACAATTCTCATCGTACCCCTTGCGTTACAAAATTATTTTCTTCAAGTCACACATTTTATGACTATCCGTAAAATTTTTTCTCTATTCTTCTATTAAAACTTTAAAATCATACTTATTCGCTTTCCCAAACATAGACATTTTGAATTTTTAAATTAATTTTCTATAAAATAACTAAATATTGGTGTTTATTCTAATAGTATTTGTTAGAGCAACTTATAAAGAAGAGTATTTTCTGAATAGCATTAACCTTATGCTCTAATATGGCAGCAATTCAGAATATAGCTTCGTTCAAGTTTCTTGAATAATTAAATATATTCATCATACGAATAAAAATAATTTTTAAACACTTCTACGCACCTGCAATTTGTTAAAATTGATTTAGTGAGACTTAGACATATTATAGTAATGTAATGACTTAGACATATTATTGTAATGTACACTGCTGGCCACCCAAATTGCAACAACAAGAAAAACAAGAGATATCACAAAAAAATTTATTTAGAAGATAACATGTTGATCAAGTATCAAATGATTAAATATATAGACTTCTGTGGAGTGTGGTTCCTTCCAGAATCAGTAGCCAGAGTAGCCGCCATTGTTGGAGATCACCGCTCCCACACGCCTTGGCATTGATTCAAGGATACTTTGGATGTGTTCTTGGGGTACAGCAGACCAAGCAGCTTCCACACGTTGCCAAAGTTGATCTGGTGTAGAAGCTTGGGATGTAATCTGGGTCAATCGTTCAGCAACCACGGACCACGTTTTCTATCGGCGAAAGATCCGGCCAGGGAAGCAATTCGACTCGGCGATTGACGAAGAACCCTTGGAATCAATGCGCGTCACGTGTGGTCGCGTATTATCCTGTTGAAATATGCTGTGGGAAAGCCCTGAAGGTAAGGAAGGACAACTGGCTCCAACACCTCGGAGATGTAGCGCTGGCTGTTTAAAGTACCGGAAATGTTTACTAGAGGAGTGCGATAATGACATCCAATACCGCCCCATACCATAATACCCGGTACAGAACCAGTGTGGCGGTGCATAATGCAGCTGTTCAGCATCCTCTCTCAGCGGTGTCTCCAGACTCGAATCCGACCATTGTGGTATTGCAGACAGAAGCGTGACTCGTCAGTAAAGACAGTTTCATTCCATTCTGACATCCACATCCTTCTTTCATCGTACCATTGGCGGCAGAGACGTCTGTGGTTCTGTGTCAAGGGTAGACGAAGCAATGGACGTCTTGCGAACAGACCACCGGTAATTCCTAATTTCAAAATGCTCTATTTCATTCAATTAATGCGCACAAAAAGAATTGCTTTCAATATTGTTTGTAGTAAACTCATGAAAACACAAACACTAAGATTTAATGGACTGTAGCTTTATTCTGTTTGGATGGACACTCTTGCCATCGCATAGGTGCACCTCCCAGCACGCAATCAAGCACAATAATGGCCGCTAGCTAACCACGTTGTTGTTTTCTCTCACTTCTGCCTTAACATACCGCCCGGGTTGGGCATTTGTTACATAGTTAACAATGACCAAAATTAAACAGTTTTAAATCACCATATAGTCCAAATCATATATCACAAAATTTAAATTGATACACATGAACAAAAGCAATAAACATAATTAACCACAGAACATGAAATGCACAACATCTAAATTAAAATACAATGCATATATAACAATTTTTTGAACTCAGGAAATATACATGAAATTATGTAACATCTACTGGTAGTACAGCTAATTTAGTTATTGGTCTTTTTAAAAAACCTGACTTGGTTTTTACAATACAAACTCTAACCTTTTTATCCTTACCATAAATTACCTCTTCTATTTTACCCAGTAACCAAGTCGAAGTGGGCATGTTGTCTTCCTTTACTAAAACTATAGTGCCCTTTTTAACGTTATCCTTAGAGAAATACCACTTAAATCGTTGCTGTAAATGACTGATGTAATCATTTTGCCATCTTTTCCACAAATATTGCGTTACTTTAGTAGTGCGCTGCCAGCGCTTTAAAGAACTATCAGAAAAATCAGTTAAATCAGGCTCTGTTATTGATGTTAAAGGTCGCCCGACTAGAAAGTGTGCGGGTGTAAGAGCTTCTAAATCATTGGTGTCATTTGACAAAGGGCATATTGGACGTGAATTTAAAATTCCTTCAATCTGGTTCAAAATTGTAAGAAACTCCTCAAATGTAAAAATCATAAGAAACTCCTCAAATGTAAAAATCAATCTCCCAACTGCACGCTTAAGATAAAACTTAAACGACTTAACACCTGCCTCCCAGATACATCCAAAGTGAGGAGCCCTGGGAGGGATAAACTTCCAATGAATTCTTTCAGATGTCAGATATTTGGTTAAGAATTCATCAGGGTATTTCAACAAATTGTAGAGTCGCTTCAATTCATTGCTAGCCCCAACAAAATTTCGAGCGTTATCGCTAAATAAGGTTGCGCATTTACCCCTTCTAGAAATAAATCGCTTCAAAGCAGCAATAAATGATTCTGTAGACAAATTTGAAACGATCTCGAGGTGGACTGCACGAGTCAAGAGGCAAACAAAAATTGCAACATAAATCTTGTGCACTACGCTCTTCTTCTGAGTTGTATACTTTATACCAAAAGGACCACAAAAGTCAACACCAGTATGGTTAAAGGGAAAGGATGGATTCAGTCTCTCTAATGGTAAATTTCCCATCTTTTGATCCAGCAATACTGGTTTTACTTTGGCACACGTAACACATTCTCTTACTATCTTTCTAGCAAGATTACGCCCACTTATCGGCCAAAATTTTTGTCTAACACTATGCAAGAGCGCTTGTGCTCCAGTATGAAAGTTTCGAATATGGTAGTGTAACATAATTAAATGAGTCAGTTTATGATTTTTTGGCAGGACAGCAGGGTGCTTTGTGTTAAAGGGTAAGTTAGCTTCCTGCAGTCTACCACCTACTCTAATAACTTGAGATTCATCTAAAAAGGGACATAAAAATTTTAACTGACTATTTTTACATACTTCCCTTCTCTTACTTAAGTTCTTGAATTCTTCAGGAAAGTTTTGACATTGGACTAAGGAAAGTAATTTATTTTCGCTTAACGAAACCTCATCTACTGTCAGATGACCTACTTGTTTTTCCTTGGATCTACAATTTCTTATAAATCTTAAAACATAAGCAAAAACATTAATTAATTTAGCATAACAATTAGTAATACTAAAAACATAATCCAAAAGAGAATTTTTAACAGTTACGGTCAAATTTACAT